TGGCTTAAAGGAATAAAGAATTTGAACTCGAACTAATCGCTGTCGGGATGGCGAGCCAAGCTAGTTGATTATTAGGTAAATAAAACAATATAAACAACCAATGAGTAAAAGTGATCTATTCTAATCAATTAAAAATATACAAGTCAAGTACCGGTATTACCTTAACCGTGGACGGGTTTGCTTGTGGACGGGTTAACGGACACTCAACTTACAAATATTAAATCATCGCCGTATTGGCACTGACTGACGGCACTTCGTGCACGGACTGTTGAATTCTCGTTTAATTTATTGTGTTAATTTCACTATTGTTTAAAATGTAAACAAAATCTTATCTCGAGTACGTAGTACCGTATATCGAGCTAGTCTAGTAAGTAGTAGGCTAGGTTAATCCAGACTAAAACGAAAGTCCTTTTATTGTTTTAATAACATTGGCTTCTGGTAGACTCGATTGTCATCTAAGGGATTATATTTTCTTTACGCGGTCTATTTATAGAACAGTAAAACGATTGTAAATATTGGCGTGATAAAAATTTAATTATAAGTCCAAGCTATTGTTGATAGAAAATAATAATGATTTACGTGTATCATAGATAATATTAAGTAACAATAGAATGAAAATACTGTTTGTTGTTTTTCGAGTTTTAGGCAATTATTACTTATTTTATGCATATTTTTGGTAAGAACTTTTTTGGACCAGTAAAATCTCATTCGGTCCAACAATAGGTGGAATAATACCTGCCCAAATGTCCAGTAAAAAAAATATCATTTCGCATGGACTGCAGGGTACATGTATATGCAGTAGGAAATCGACAAGTTGGACGTACAAAAGAATGGAATCATTCAGAAAGTGTACTCAAAATAAGTAAATTATAACGGGGTGAAGACGAGAATTAACACACTCGTGGATATTGTATAAATATATGAGGCGCATGTAATGTACACGTATGTGTGTGTGAAATGGCTTTATTCAATATCTGCTCCCAACCGAAATGAATTGGGTGACATAAAGTAGATGTATATTGTCACAGCGGATATTATTCGCCGAGTAAAACAGCTAAGAATATACATGTAGTCCCAATCTTTCGGCGCGTTTCTGACCACGTAACATACCGTTAAGCGACCCGCGGAGTGATTTACTGTACGTGCTGTATGGATGATTGATTTAGATTAACCGAAGCTGCGAGTAATGAAGTAATGTGTAAAAGCTCATCGTATATAATTTAAAGTTTGGATTTGATAGCAGCCCCAAATTGACGGATTACATCTAAGTTATAAATGAAGATGAATTGATATGTTTAAAAAATTGTAAGTTGTTCATAGTTTGCATACATTTTGGCCGGCGTTATGTATGTATAAAGTGCGTTGGGGAAAAAAATCCTAACCGATACAGAATGCCGGTAAATGTCTTCCCGAGATTACCTAACTCATTTGTTATTCAACCCTGCATGTACATTATACATGTACACGTTTCCCGGGAGCATTACTATATTACAACTCCTTTAATTTATTATAGACAATATTAGTTCGACCCTAGCTTAAGGTAGGCTCTCGAATTCCTCGCGGGAAGCACGGCAAAACAAGATGTATTCTTATCGAAACACAGTGAATTCCTAGAGAAACACGGTGAATTCCTAGAGAAACACGGTGAATTCCTAGCTAATCTTAGAGAAAAATCACCGCGGAATCAAGCGAAATTTCACTGTGAAATCTAAGAGAATTCGGAGAGTTTTTTTCACCGCGTTGCGGCGATTTCGGTCCCAAAAATTTGGGAGGAACTGTACGTGACAAAACACAGCTGTTTATTTAGATCAGTTGATTGACAGGTATACGTCAGAGTTATTGTTTAGTATAATTAGCATAACTTCTAATCTAAATGGGATTTTCATATCAACTTACTATTATTACCAATTTGAAACAAAATTAAGGATCTCAACTGAAATTCAAGGATATTTTCCTATTTCCGCGAAATTCAAGGATATTCAAGACCTTGAAAATGAAATTTTAAATTTAAGGATATTCAAGGATTTTCAAGGACCGCGGGAACCCTGTTCCACTGAGGTGATATCGGTTTTGAGCAATATGTCATTTTATATTTTTACACCATCAGGGTTCAAAATTCGTGGAATTGGAACTAAGGCATTTTTTGAAAAAAAAAAAATGCCACAGTAACGTCTTCTTCACTAAGGCAGTTTTTATGCATACTAAGGCAAAACTTTTAATTTACTATTGTCACTAAGGCAATATCATTATGAAAATAAATAAACCACAAACACAGCATTTTAAGGTTTTTATTTTTATATAAAATGTCTATTTAGACATATCATCATTATTTGACAAAGGGCTATTAGGAGGAAATTGTACAATAGATAGTGTATCTACATCACTGTCCTCATCTGGTACAACAGATAGTGTGTCTAGAATGCTCTCATCGCCATCACACTCATAACATTCACTCTCAGTGTCGCACCCATTTACTGATGACTTTTTTTGTATTGTTTTGTGTAAGGTCAGCGCCAAATTGTGGCCTCTAGAGGGTGCCATATTTTTGCACTATTTGTGTACGAAGAGAGAGAGAAATGGGGTTTAATGTCCACTCGACACAAACTAGGTCATTTCAGGACTAACACATGGTTCAATTTTATTTCAATCATTCGCTTGCGCGTAGTTATTGTGTTCCAAAAAGTGTGACAGACAGAGGGACAATTAAAAAGTAGAACAGGAATCTATGATATTAATTTAAATATAAAGCTATAAACCAGAGGCTGCCAGGCAGGATACGCCCACATTTTTGAGAGATGGATAGAGAACAAGCTAAAAAGGAAGTGATTTTTCCTACAATCAAGGGCCATAACTCAGAAAATTACAATACGATATGCGCAAATATCGAAAGGGACCGAGATCTTTGGGTTATAAACTTACATTTCAAGTTTCAACAAAATCGGATAAAAATTGTGACCTCTATAGGGTCCACAACCTTGATATACCATATTTATACGCTATTTAAGAACGAGGGGCAGCCATTTTGTCTGTCAGTTTTGGGCCGATTTTAACGAAATTCGAACTTAGACATCCTTAGGGTGTAACGGTGATATAATAATACGTTTTTTTTAAATCGTTACAAAATTATGACCTCTATAGGGCCCACAAGCTAATAGGTCCACAAGCTAAAAACGCGATTTTTCGTACAATCAGGGGCCATAATTCAGGAAGTTACATTCCGATATGCGCCAATATCGAAAGGAACCGAGATCTTTGGGTTATAAACTTACATTTCAAGTTTCAACAAAATCGGATAAAAATTGTTACCTCTATAGGGTCCACGACTTTGATATACCATATTTATACGCTATTTGAGAACTAAGGGCGGCCATTTTGTCTGTCAGTTTTGGGCCGATTTTCACGAAATTTGAACTCAATCATCCTTAGGGTGTAACAGTGATATAATAATACGTTTTTTTAAATCGGATAAAAATTATGACCTCTATAGGGTCCACAAGCTAAAAACACGATTTTTCGTACAATCAGGGGTCATAATTCAGGAAGTTACGTTCCGATATGCGCGAATATTGAAAGGAACCGAGATCTTTGGGTTATAAGCATACATTTCAAGTTTGAACCAAATCGGAAAAAAATTATGGCCTCTATAGTGTTCACAAGCTAAAAACGTGATTTTCCGTACAATCAGAAGCCATAATCCATGAAGTTACCGTCCGATACATGCCAATATCGAAAGGAACCGAGATCTTAGGATGATAAACCTATATTTCAAGTTTCATTGAAATCGGATAAAAATTGTGACCTGTAGACTGTTAACAAACAATTGTGGACGGACGGACAGGGGCGGCGACAATATAAGTCCACATGAAAATGTGGGCGTATAATAAAAACAAGGACTGCAAATGAAATGGTAATACTTGCTATAAGAGGCCTTCGTTGCAAAGATTATATTATTGACTGACACCCAAGCTGCGTGTGGACGGAATCATTGAGAGGAATTCCGTTGCGTTGGAAGAATATACTATATCACCACTTAAATGATGACGTGACTGGTCATCAGTGACATCACTGCCATCACCATGGAAAGAACTGACGACAGTGATATCAAAGATGACCGGCCACCTCATTGTGTAAGTAGTGACACACTTTATGTTTCCAATCCAACAGTATTCCACATGCTCATTCCACATTCAGCTTGGAAGTCAGATGATAACATAATCTATGCAACGAAGGCTTCTTAGCAAGTATATTTCCCCACCACTTTCAACCACGTTCCTAGCCATATACTTGCTGTGCTGTTACGACCATTTTGTATATATCATCCAAAGAGGAAACATCATGAAAACTAAAAATTGTTCTTGATTGTTTGTTGTTTGGTTCTCTGCTTCGATACTGAATAAGGACAGGATGAGCATGGCAAGAGAGCGGCTTAAGCATGGTAGGCACGTCATGGGAGTTTGGTGAAAACGTATCCCGGTCTGAGTGCATAGTGAGATCTTGACTGGAGCATGCTGGGCGTAGTGGGCCCTTGGTGTGGTAGTGGCAGGAGCATGATGGCTGCATGCCAAGTTCTTGTCATGCTTATTGTTGTGAGCCCCACGCTGCCGTTACACTTTCTTTGCTCTTATGCAAGGAGACCGAGTGAATAGGCTTTTCTTTCCAAGGGAAAACGATATCAGCTCAGTGTTAAACTCGGATGAGGAATTTTCATTGTTGAATAATATACCAAATGGGTACGACAGTACCGGCTTCCAGGAACCTGCTACAAGCTAACAGCCTACATAGCAGAATTGGATTCAGAAACATGTAAATAACCACAAGTAAATAAATGATAATGTATTTAGAAAACGTTCTGCCATCTTGGAAATGTGCTAAATTGGTGAACATAAGATCATTTTATGCAGTCGTATATGGTAGAAATTGAGCCTGCGACAACGAATATATCAGCTCAGTGGTCAACTTGGATGAGGCATTTTCATCATTGGATAAGTTTATGTAATTACCTGAAGGAGATCAAACTGTACTCTACCATCTATATTAACTACTTTATTCTCTCTTTTACCCATTTGTTTACTCTGAAATGTTTGTTCCTTGACAACTGATTGTATATCTTTGATACGACCCAGGAAATTAAAATCCTTCACCTTCAAGTGAGCTGCACGATTTATCAAATAAGGAAAATCAAAGTTTTGGATGTTGTATCCGGTTATTAAATCTGGATCAATTTCTCTTACAAAGGCTGCCCAATTCTGAAAAATATTCAAATCAATTATGCCATTGTTCTGATAGGACTCATGATGGCCTGATGTCTTCTCGGTTAGGTGGGAGGATAAACTGAGGTCCTGTGTATACCACTGACAGGATATATTAAAGATCCCATCTAAGAAAGAAATGAAAGATTGCCATGAGAAATCAGATAAAAATTGTGACATACGAGTGTACAGTGTCCACAAAAAAAAATGAGAATGGACCTTGATGTTACATACTTTTACACTATTTGCATAAGTGTAAGAGTCATTTTGTAGGGGAGTTTCGGTCTGATTTACACGAAATTCGGACTTCACCGTCATTTTTCATACAACCAGGGGCCATAATCCAGGAAGTTACAGCCCGATATACATGAATAGAAAGGAATCAAGATAGATCTTTGGGTTATAAATATACATTTTAGTTTCATGGGAAAAAATTGTGACCTCTAAAGTGTCCACAAGCTAAAAACATGATTTTTCGTATAAAAATGTCCTATAATCCATGAACTTATGGTCCGATACATGCCAATATTGAAAGGAATCTTTGGCATATAAACCTATATTTCATGTTTGTCAAAATCAGATAAAAATTGTGACTCATACAGTGTTCACAAACAAATTGTGGACAGACAGAGGTGGGGACAATATACATCTACATGAAAATGTGGGTGTATACAAATCAATACTATTAACTCGTTATTTTCCTTCAAGGAGTACTCCATTATACAAACTTTTCGTGATTTAGGATAAATTTAAAATAAATGACTCAATTTAATTTTAAACAAGCGCTGGCCATGCAAGATACGCCCACATTTTGCAAGAGAGAGACAGATGTTGTGCAACGTCCACTCAACACACACCAGGTCATTACGGGACTAACATATGGTTCAATTTTTTACTTCAATAATTCGCTCGTATGTTGGGGTCTTTTGCTGTGGGAGGAAAACAGAGGACCCAGAGAAAACCCATGAGGTTTGACAGGCGATCCTACTCCTTGTCACGTACAACCAGGGAATCGAAATCACACCAGTTGACTCAATGCCATACCTTATAATATCTATATATACTTTTTCTTTTAACTAAAATAACTTGAAATATAAATTGTTTTTCACACCTCATTGATGTCCCTCTATAAACCTTTTATCTGTGTCATACAACCAGGGGCCATAAATCAGGAACCAAGATCTTTGGGTCTTAAAGCTATATTTCAAGTTTCATCAAAATCGGATAAAAATTATGACCTATAGAGTGTCTACAACCAATTTTGGAAGGACGGACGCCGGAAGGACAGGGTTGACAACAATATACGTCCACATGAAAATGTGGGCGTATAAAAAGTTACGAGGCTTATCTGTTTATGCCTTACTATTTGACACACTTTCTTTCGAAAACTGTCATTACAACGGCTAGTTTTCAAGCATTATATATCGGTAAACTGACATGGAATAAAATAGGTAGCAACTAGCCGACCCTACACCCAATAATAGTAATAATGTCTCATCACATTTCAACAAGAAACATAAACAAGAGCATCACAAACGCTGCAATATACGTTATTATTCCAGCTTTGATTGATATGGTACATTTTAAAATGAAGAGATTGAAATATGAAATGGCTGCAATGACTGTAATATGACAAGAGGCAAAGAAGGCTAGGGATTAAATATTAAGGGCAAGGTAAAGTGACACCATCTTGTTGCATCTCAACACCAACAAGGCTGACCAAAATAAACTCTATTACTCACAATACACTATTTCACTGTCAATACCCCTTTAATTCGTACATCAGCGTTGTTATCACGTAAACGAAAATTTCAGTTTCATCCCTTTCTTGCCCAATCACGGTTACACCTACAGACACAACAATAAAACTTGGGGACAGCTATCTCTATTTATACTCTGATCTATGTAGCAAGTATATTTTCGAGTTGCTTTTTCCTATTTCCTTGTGTGAGATTTCCATGTCTTGCTACCACAGGGTTGGGATCCGCCATTTTCTTTTTCAATCTTGTAAATGACCCTTCATATCTTTAGACGAGTGATGCGAATAATCATTAAACTGACAACTATGTCGTATTCCTTTTAGTAATAAACTAATAATATCGTACATTTTAGTAACGGCGGCCATTTTGGGCCGATTTTCACGAAATTCAAACTCAGTCGTCCTTAGGGTGTAAAAATCGGATAAAAATTATGACCTCTATAGGGTCCACAAGCTAAAAACGTGATTTTTCGTACAATCAGGGGCCATAATTCAGGACGTTACGGTCCAATATGCGCAAATATCGAAAGGAACCGAGATCTTTGGGTTATAAACTTACATTTCAAGTTTCAACAAAATCAGATTAAAATTGGGACCTCTATAGGGTCCACAACCTTGATATACCATATTTTTACGCTATTTGAGTACGAACGGCGTCCATTTTGTATGTAAATTTTGGGCGATTTTCACGAAATTCAAACTCAGCCGTCCTTAGGGTGCAACGGTGATATAATAATACGTTTTTTTAAATCGGATAAAAATTATGACTTCTATCGGGTCCACAAGCTAATAACGCGATTTTTCATACAATCAGGGGCCATAATTCAGGAAGTTATGGTCCGAAATGCGTGAATATCGAAAGGAACTGAAATCTGTGTATTATAAATTTACATTTTAAGTTTCAACAAAATCGGATAAAAATTGTGACCTCTATAGGGTCCACATCCTTGATATACGATATTTTTACACTATTTTTGCACAAGGGGCAGGCATTATGTCCGTCAGTTTTTGTCCGATTTTCACGAAATTCGAACTCAACAATCATTAGTGTACAGTAGAATCTGTATAAGCAGCCACTCCTATTCAGCGACATCTCCTTGTAAGCGGTCACGATAAATCACCCCTGTAAAAATTCTATTGTTTCATCTCTTTATTCAATGGCCACTCCTCTAACGCGGCCAGCGGTCACTATTTTACTAATAAATTCAACAAAACATCGCCCATTCAACGGCCATTGTTGAATGATACCATCTTGTCGTTCTTTGTAACACCCCCGCTAATCCCGTGAGTAGTAGTTAATTAACTGGACCCCCACTGATCAGGTAAAAAGAAATGTAAACATAACAATCAACCCAGGATTATCTGTTAATTAATCTTTTGTTTTATTAAACGACTAACCTGATCTTTGTTTTCACGCGTAACGACACATTATTTGATACTGATTGAATAAAATAAAAGTACCGAGTTTTGTCACGATCATCTAGTATCTCTTTTCCATTGCCACTTTGTTGTTAAACAGACGTTTGAGCGCCTCCTATAATATTACATACGGAGTTACACCCCCTGTAAATAGGTGATAAAATCAGCAATGGTTTTTTGTTCATGTGCTTTTTTGATAAAACAAAATTAATTCATCGATTTTCTTCACAAATTTGGTTAAATATTATCGAAAGCATCACAATGGTAGACAGTAGTATCGAAGGTTGGTACAAAATGACAAGTTTACAGAAGTTACGTCCGAGATTTGAGTAAAGAATTTTCGTTCAGAGAAAGATTCAGCGACGGTCAAATTTACCGATGCAAGTATTGATGTTTGCTTCCAATGCATCCAAGCGTAATATTTAATTTATGTCAGCACAAAAAGCACCGAGATTTTATTAACAGGCCACTCCCGTTAAGCGGCCAGTCGTGAAAATTCCCTTGGGTGGCTGCTTAATGCAGATTCTACTGTATAACAGTGATATATTTCACAGGTTCTTTTTTAAATCGGATAAAAATTGTGACCTCAAAACTCGATTTTTCGTACAAGCTTTTTGATTGATTAAACATTTTCATGAATAATGGAGTACTCCTTTAAAGACTTGAATTTCTAAACCCTGAAAAGCCCAAGAAATGACATCACTCTTCAGAATTTATAGAAATTATCTCTGTGCTTACCTGTAGAACTTCACTTTCCTTTTGGTAAGACAAAACTTGTGAACCAACAACAGGAGCACACGATTTAAGAGTAAAGACATTACGTATAAATGGATCTGCTTCACCTTGTCTTTGTACCATATTAGCTATCTGTATAACAGGATCTTTCTCGGCTTCGGGAAATATTCCTACGATACAAATATTGTAAGCCATTTGAATTTTAAAAGCTAAAGCAGTTGTATCCATGCATTCTTACCTCAAGCACAAAATTTACAACAAGCGGTTGCCATGCAAGATCGGAGCTTAGAATTCATGACAGTCACAGCGGTAATTGCTGTAGAAAGCCCTAGAAATCGACCACGATAGCTTTAACATGGTGGGCCAAAAATTGCTGTCGTAATCAGGGACCATAATCCAGGATGTTACGGTGTAACCATGATATATTTAAATGGTTTTTAAGATCAGATAACAAGCAATTGCCATCCAAGATACGACCACATTTTGCAAGAAATGTACAAAAACAAGCTACAACAAGCGGTTGCCATGCAAGATATGCCCACATTTTGCAAGAGATGGATAGAAAACAAGATAAAAACAAAAGCGATTTTTTGTACAATCAGGGGCCATAATCCAGACAGTTATGGTCTGAAATGCGCAAATATCAAAAGGGACTTTGGGATATAAAATTGTGACCTCTAGAGGACCCACAACCTTGGTATTACATACTTTTACACAATTTGCGTACAAAAAACGGCCATGTAGTCGGGCAGTTTCATTTCGATTTTCACGAAATTCAAATTCAACCTTTATTACGGTGGAATGCATGGGTTCCACGTCGGCCGTATATGCCGGTCGAAACCTGCGGCTATGGCAAATGACCGTTCCTAGATCTGACCTAACGGTCATTTTGCACGCCGGAAAGAGAGTCTTTTTTTCCAAAACCCAATTTTCAAACATGGCTACGATCGACCTCCACTATGCAACTATACTAGAATGCACACGTATAGAAGCCAATCTTGTGATTGGTGTTATAGAGTTGTATAAATACAATAGTCGTCAACAGATTATACTGAGTGGTGTGTTGATAATTAATGATGAGTGTCTGGTAGAGAACAATAAAAGTTAATTGATAAGTGGGAATCTAATCAACGGTGTGAAGCGGTCCATTGTTAATCATTCACGTATTGTCCACGTGTCAGAAGGATTTTCAACATCAAAGCCGTTTACCGCTATTACGGTCAGGCACGATGTAAACGAGGTTATTATGAGCTTCAAAAAAAGGCAATTGATATAAAATACTGCTCTTCGCATCCAACCAACTGTCATATAAAATAAAAACAGCATAGAAATTACGGAAGTCCTCAACAACGTACATGTGCGTGTTGGGAGAAAAATGCATTTATAAATTTTCATAGCGGCTTTATGGCCTTGTGGAAATTGTAGAAATAAAATCTAGAGAATAGTTAACTTGCTTACCGAAAAACTAAGAAAATTACGTATTCCAGTTCTATTGTGCAGCGATATTGATAATTCCACGTGTAGAAAATATGTTGTGTATATACGGTTACTCTCACACACGACGATATTCTAGGGGGCGCTAGTGTCGTTAGCTGGGAAGTTAGTTATCCGTTAGTCATTTAGTAATACATTATTAGGATTTACATCACAATTCTGCGACCCGTAATTCCGTTAGGGATGGTTTTAAAACCAATAAATGTGAGAAATATGCCGTGGATAATTATATATTTATCTTCATATCGAAGTTATTGTGTTACAACTCAAAATTATCCAGGTCAGTGTATTTACTATGGAGCACGTGGTAATTCAACTATTTCGTTATTTAAGTAGCCAAAATGGAATATTTAATTAATTAATAAATAATTATCATAAGCCTTACTAATATTTCATTTTTAAGTCAAATGTATTTTTTCGTGTGTACCCCATGGTGACAAAGTGGTATCGACACGTGAATTCACAATACCATACCATGAATAAAAAACATGAAATATGAATTTACTTTGAAAAGTTTTCGTGCGTTATCAAAAATGACCGGTAGTGAAAATTTTGAAGTGGAAGCCCTGGTGGAATGGTGATATATTTAAACAGATGTACGAACGGACAGGGCGACGACAATATACGTCCACATGAAAATGTGGGTGTATAAAAATTGTAACCTGTGCAATATTTACAGTCAAAAAATTAACAAAAAAGTGGGAGTGTAGCACCAACCACAGGAGTCAGGCCATTTAACCCAAATAGATAGTTGCTAATATCCTTACGGTATAAGGAATAAGTATGCTATTTTTAAGATGATCAATTCAGAATTGCAGCCTGTAGACAAAACACACAAAAATCTGGCTTGACAAAATATTAACAAAAGATAGGTTGCCAGGCAACGAAACATACACCCACAGCAGCTAAATCGTCCCGGCAGTCAACAACAGTTGTCGCATATTTTTTACTTTCTTTTGGTAATGAAATATTTATAATACACTAAAATCTGATGAAGAGTAACAACTCATTAAGTAATTATCAGAAAATCATTAGAATTTGTTTGGTTTTTATAAAGTTCTGCCCCATGCTAACGTTTAGTATCCGAAACATTTAATATCATGGATTTAGCTGTTCAAGTTATCAATATTCAACATATCAATATACTTGTTTGTCAATCTGAAGTCAATCGGATGATAACTTAGCATCTAGAGCATCCACAAGATATTTTGAAATGATCAAGGGTGATAATTCTGGCAGTAATTATCAGAAATTGCTGAAATTCAATAGGTTTCTTCATCGCATGACCTTAAACACTGTGTATAAATTTAAAGTCAATCAGATATTAACTTTGGCCTCTAGAGCATCAACAAGATATTTTGAAGTGATAAGGGCCATAACTCTGGCAGTAATAATTGGAAATAACTGAAAATCAATAAGCTTCTTCGTCTCATGACCTTAAACACTGTGTATAAATTTAACGTGAATTGGATTTATAACTTTGGCCTCTATAGCGTCCACAAGATATTTTGAAGTGATCAAGGGCCATAACTCTGGCAGTAATTATCAGAAATTGCTGAAAATCAATAGGTTGGATCGTCTCATGACCTTAAATACTGTGTATAAATTTAAAGTCAATCGGACATTAACTTTAGCCTCTAAAGCGTCCACAAGCAATGGGCGTCCTCGCTGGAGATAAGGGGAGGTAATTTATAGAGGGCACTGTACATAATGTGGCCCCACGTGATGTTATTGTTTACTTCTGCTCATTGTTTTACGCTACATTCGAATCAAACAAGACTGTAAAAATATACGTAGTTTTTTTACTGTTGAAAATGGATCTCGATCGTGATACTTCAAAATACGGTTCTCTTACCATTAATGAGTTGAAGAAAGAGTTAAGCAAACGAGGAGCGAAGCTTTACGGTCGTAAACAGGAGTTGATCGAACGGTATGTTTTTAATGTCAAACTCAATGACGCAATTTTAATTTTATCGTCTTTTGTCTTTGTTACATATTAATTCTGTGACTAGCTCACATATGCCTATTAAATTTAAGGCTAAAGTCGAATTGAAAAAGTTAAAGACCACGTAAGATCAAAAATCTAAATTACATGTATGTATAGCCCATGGTCACTAATCAACTTTACGGCAACTTCTCACCAATCTGATTAAAATTAAGTCGGCTGTTAACGTTTAAGTGTCCGACACGCCAACACGCTTTTCAATTTTTCAATTATCTATACAATATCTCACCGTCTGTACAATATAGCACTATCAATACACACGGCAAGTTGACAAGCGTCTGTTGACGGTCTAATTACCACGTGAATGGCCTAATCATAATCACCGAATTATCGTCTTTCATTTGTGATTGGAATATTTTAGAGTGAATTTCAAATGCCGTATCATGCCGTAGATCCATTTAAGCTGCCTTTGTTTAAATAGGCCACGTGTCAAATGAAGACGACTCAAGAAATTAGCACATTTACTGGTAATTTGGATAACCCCATAGCACTTGATATACCAAACGTACAGAAATACAAATGGCGCCAGTCATTTGTCGATATATTCATTATTAGCTATATATAATAATAATAACCATTTCTATACATAAAGAATAACTTTTATCGTAACTCAATTTGAAATTTACAGTGAATATGGAATTTTCCGATGACTATGCATAACATGTACAATAGATCGCCCTCATTTCTCATTCAATTAACGTGGGAATATTATTAATATTTACTGTTACATGTACTAAGGGTTTAGTAAATGAGGTTAAACTTCGGCACGAAAATTGCACGGGATCATATGTGGAGTTCCTGGTGCCGTTTGCCGAGTGATTAAACTGTCAATGCAATTGTAAAATACTTTTATTAAAAAGAAGATAAATGATTGTTGTTTAAACGCCAATCAACAAATAATACGAGGCTACTTGATTACAAAAACACTGGTGAGCAATAATTATTGGGTAAATAATAATTATAAACAACTGATGAGTAAAACTTAATGGTTTTATACAATTAATGTGTGGGTGTACGAGGTATGAGGTATTATGCACACGTTCCACTTAGAGTGATGTCTTTGATCTGGCCGGCGTAAAAAAAGATAATTACCTAATCAACATTCTTAATCCAACTAACACTCACTGCTAACACCGACGTGTAAATTAATTTATAACCCATGCCTGTATAACTTTTATAGTCGGATTGATAAATTAATGACAAATATTAACGACACTACACTTTATGTGGAAATGCGAAGTGCTCGCAGTAAAAAACACATAGCTGGACCGGTATATTATTTACATATTAAAAGTGTTCGTCCAATAAGTTCCATATTGTAAAAAATTAATTAAGAGTTCAAGACTTCAAAGTTTAAAAGTTGTAGGCAATCTAAATTGGATCTTAAATTAAAATGAATTACAAAACGAATTATTCCGTAGTCAATTGTTTTATTTAATTAAGAACTAAGGGAGATTAAGGAATCAGTCAGGCGTTAATGAGTACACACGCCGGCTGTATATAGGTAATTAAGGAATAAACATTCCGAATATGCATTCGGTCACTGTGACGTCACTGGCGTCTGAGGAGATTAAGAGTGTTTTCGATAATTGGCAAAGTCGTTTTCAAGATAACTGAAGATAACTGAATTAATTTCAATCAGATTGGTGTGAACTTGCCGTTAAGTTGATA